CTTCTCACTTTGTGGCAAACGAGACAATGAGGGAGAGAGAGAGAGAGACTCGATAAACGGCTTCTTGGAAAATTTCAATTAAGCGTGTCGATAATTGTGACAAACGTTTCAATCTCTATCTCTGTTAATTTTTTTACTTCCCCCCAAATATTATCTTTATTCCACTTATTCGTGCCCTCGACATCTCAAACCACACGCGGAAAGAAAAATTCAGCTGCCGTAGCTAAAAACTGCATGTGGCAACTAAATTTCAGAACTATTCGATCTCAAATTTCGATAAAAAGTTGGCACCCGATTTTTTTAATTTTAATTTCTGATCGTTAATCAGCACAACTCTTTTTATAAACTCTTAAGCTCTTCAAAAGGAAGCGGGAACTCCAGTCAGAACTACAAAATTTTTATGTTGGGGTGCAAAGTTAACACACGCGAGATAATAAGTCAGGGAAATTAATTAATTAATAAGTTAAGTGTAAGAGTAAAAAGACAGTCAAAAAGTAGATAAAACTAAGATAATAAATTTAGGAGTAATAAAACAGTTAAAAGTAGATAAAAGTAAGATAATAAGTTTGTACTTTTGCGGTCTGTACTTTTAAATTTTGTTTCCAGATTATACTTGAAAAGGACCCGATAAAGACGTCGAAACGTTGTGACTTAAATATATATCATTTTTTTGCCAGTTTGGTCGATTAAAAAAAATTTTTCCCTTAGCTAATATTTAGTTGCGTCAGCTAAATATTTTTATATCGTGCCTATTGTACTAGGTGCGACGGCAAACCGTTTGCCGTGGCTTAGAAATTTGCAGTTATGGCAGCATAATATTTTTAGCAAACCATGATTAGCTACGGTAGCAAAAATTTTCTTATCAGTGCAAGAAAGTAAATGACAAGTTTCTTTTCCCCTCCCATTGTTTCCTAGATTTATTTTTTTTCTATAAGCCACAGTATCTATTTTTAAAGAATATAAATGGCACGGCTTTTTTAACAAAGCGTCACATTTAAAATTAAACGCTATTCACTTTTATCGGCCTTTTATAACCTTTCGATCGTTTATTACATAGTCAATCATTGATACACACAATGTAATATGTAACGCGGCAGTACACGGCCGGCAGTGTGTTCAATGCTTTACACGGTATCCCCTAAAATTTGCATTCTCTATTACAATTGATTTTCCCGATATTTCACTGGAACGATTAAACGCGTACGTGCTGCGGTAAAGTAATTTCATATTTAAACGATAAATACCACGGTGGTCTCGGTGCCGCGGCTAATCCGCGTTCCGAGCGCATTTGTACAAATTAACGCGATAAAGCGGATCATATTATACAGGGTAGTGCGTTTTTTTTTTCGTTCGGGGAAAAAATTCGCGGCGAGGGAGATATCGAGAGATTTAGGGGAAACGCGAGAAAGGCGGAAAATGGAGAGTATGGACGGCGGAGAGAAAAAAAGAGCGGCGCAGTTGGGTCGGCATGCCCTAACTCCTCTAAGCCCAGTAAACCAGTCAAGGTATTAAGAGTTAAGTAACTACAGCCAATTAACCATTCTCGGTCTTCGGACTAATTAGCCGATTCGAGGGTATTGATCCCCGAGAGAGAGAGAGAGTAGTGCACAGTCGCGAAAGATAGCATAAGCTTTGTGTGCAGCCGGCGCAACACTTTTCTACTCCGTGAAAACTTAGGACCTGAGCAGAATGGCTGTCTTATAACTCTTCAGGCAGCCTTAAGACAATGTTTTATGTTTTAAGCCTTTGTCTTGAGGTAACGCCGAGAGGGAAACCGCTGAGGGCATTGTGATGTACAGATTTGCGGCATTACTAAGCATTACTAGGCATTTTTTTAATATTAGTTTGGGCATTAGGCCTTGCTGGAGCATTATAAAGATAAAATACGATAAAATATGATAAATAATATAAACTAAAATAATAAGATAAAATAATGCCCAATGGGCATTTATCTTATTATTGGGCATTGGTGTACAAGATTTTGGTCAGCGGTTTTCCCCCTCGAGTAACGCACAATAACTGTCTTATGTATTAAGAGTACAGCCCGGTCTACAATGAGACAGAAGTCAGTAGTCAGAAGACATAAGCGTGTTATAAGCCTGTTATAAGATACTCACAAGTCGGAACGCGGCAATCATAAGAAGATTACTAAAATCAAATCCTCCTGAGCTTATACGTAGCTTATGATTGACCACTCAGAGCCAATCATATGCCCAACCTTTTTATCGTGAGCGCCAAGCCACCCAAGACACCTGGCTTTGGGATCATGGTTACATTCCGAAATATTTATGTGAGAACAATTTGTGCTTGCTGACAATTTATAGTATGTGCGTGTAAGTATATTATAATCTTTTAAGTAAAATTTTTCTACAAAGAAACATTTCAGAGCATAATAACCTTGATCCTAGGCATTTTTTAAGTGTTGTTCAACAAAACGGTGTTTAACCATACTTGTTTAACGATGGAAATCGCTGCATCCAACGAGAATATTGATTTGGAATTCATCAAGCTTGTTGAGGCAAATGATTACCTATAAATTTCCTCGTCTCCGATTGACTAGATTATAGTGACTTATGACTCATTAGTGTTGGTCTACAACCTTAGCCCCAGTCTACAATAGATGATTTAAGCCCTAAGCTTTAAGAAATTGGCCAATCACGGTCAAGTATGAGTAGAATGCGCGACTATGATTAGTCAATTTCTTAAGGCTTAGAGCTTAAATCTCTATTGTAGACTGGGACTTATGGATCAACATTTTTCTTTATGATTTCCAACTTACGGTTTATGGTTTCTGACTACTGACTTCTGTCTCATTGTAGACCGGGCTTACAAGACAGCCATTCTGTGCTCGCGGCCCTTACTTCAAATAAGCCGCGAAACGACTGTCATTACGCGAGTGGAACCCGCGGCGACTCGCCTGTCACTCCGAATATCCGCGGCGAATCAATCGCGTGAAAAACGAGAGGATTTTCGTTGCCGTCGAAGTCGCGTGACTAGTTGCCGCGCTCCCGTTCTATACATCCCCCGAACTTTCTTCGATGAACGATGGTGCCACGTCGGAAATCGCAAAGTGCTCTCGATCGTACTCGAGATAAACGCGAGAAACTGATATCCCTCGAGATATCGGTCGAAACTGGCGGTTAACCGTCAGCCGACCGATGCCGAGAGAGGTGCGGCGAGAAGTTGAAAACGGCGAGCGGAGAGCGCGCAGAGAGGGAACGTACCCGATATTCATAGGTGTTGCGCGTCGCGCGCAGGCCAGATTAATAGTCCGAGTTTAAACAAGTCCTTTTTTTTGGGGGGGGGAGGGGGTGTAGCGTCGCGCGAAATCCCGGGGAGGGATCGACACGACCGAGTCGTACCGCCGACGAAACCTCCCACGCGACTCTCATTTGCATAGTTATAGGAATATTTCGGTCGACCATCGGGCCACCGCCCCGTCAACTCCGAGGAATAACGATCGGTTCTCGTTCGCGGGCTCGCGATCGATCCTTTGCGACAATCGCCGACGATCTGTCTTGCATAATTACACGCTTCGACGTTCGACTCTGTTTCGAGAGTCGGTCAACGCGAGCGAGCGAGAGAGAAAGAAAGAGAAGGGAGGGGAGGAGCGGAGAATCCAATCTAACGAAAGAACGATTTTATTTTCGCGCAGATAAAAATACCCTGCGAAAACAATCTGTCCCGGGAAAACGCGGTGTCGACAAACTTCTCGTACACTTGCCCGAGTTCTGGGGCACGCGGAAAAGTTGCGCAACTACCCGCGATAGGGATAATATCCTGATTAGACAAGCGAGATATCACGTGATATCCGGTACCGTTAGAGTTCTTCTCGCACGAGATGGGGGAAGATTCGCTGCACTGTTTGCGAAAGCTAATGGTATACTTGGGACGACGCAAGATTACCATATAAACCGCAAAACTCTTCATGTTCTCTCCTAGTTCTATCGATCCCGAGCGCGTTTGCGTCTCCTACGTCCTTTACCCTTTACCCCTTTGTCCCTTCCTTCGTTCTGCCATAACACATTCGGTTCAGCTGACGTACGGGAGCAGAGGCGCTTTGCTCGCGGCAGGTGTACTTTAGAGGGTAACCTGCCGTCTGATTATCAATTAGGATGCAATACCAATAAAAGATTTCGATAAAAGGCGAAGATCAAATATATTCGCCTCGGAGCCAAATTTCAAGCGGGCATCTGTTTCGCGTGATATTTTTTGCCACGCGTTTTCGCTCTTATCGAGAAGTGCGCCTTGACAAATGTGTCTGCTGCGTGAATGCGTTTACGAGATAAATCGACGAGACACTCGTTAATCCGCCCTCTCTATTTTCGCAATTTTTCCCTCCGCCCGCCGCTATAAAAAAGAATGCCTACTAATCCCTTCGCTTAAATACAGAGGTTCGAGGGAAAACTTTCGTTATTTCAGCAGCGCACATCCGTCTTGGGGGAACAAACGCCGTTATCGATTGTCTTTCGCGGTGATATCGGTTCCCGCCCCCTCGCGCAAATAAATTCAATCGCCCCTGCACTGCGACGACCTTTTTATTTCTCGTTTCTTTTTTTTTAATCAGTCACTTGTAGTCCGGATACATTTTTGTTTCGTGTCTGTCCAAGTAAACGTGAAGGAGGACGTAAAGGGGGAAAAAAAACGTCGACTCTCCGTTCGCTGACGTAAAGAGAAACGATTCGGACCCACCCACCTACGGCGCCGTATAAAAATTTGATCGCTTTCACGGGGACAATCGGGTTTTTCAGTGACACGTACCTCCGTACTGAATTTACCGAGTAAATCCGTCGTGCAGTAAATCACACGGCAGTTGATACGAGCCTGGCGAGCACCGGAGAACAATAATTCTCCGGCCCCGCCTCTCTCAGCGACTCTTTCCGTCGCGCTTTTTCTTGCCGGGGGCACTTTTCACGCGCGGAATAACCCAATTTTTCTGTACACACGTACGACCGATAATTAATTACCTCTTCAAATGCCCCTTTTTCTTTCTGTTTCAGTCACCGAGAAGGAAATTCGTCAATGGTAAGTCCGGCTCTAAAAACGGGCAATGGGCCATTATGCGAACTCGCGCTAATTTGAATGATTAACGATTCCGACAAGCAGAGGAAAACCATTTTCACGGGAGAATTGATTTAACGTCGCGGCAAATTAAAATGAAGGATTATTTGGATAAGAGAGAGATAAGTAGACTTAAAAAAATCTCTCGTAGTTTCCATCTGTTGGTAACGAATGCAAAATTTTTACTTCAACATTTCACTCAAACAAATAACTGCTTATACGAGGATTGTTATTACTACGTAGGCACAAAGGATTCCTGAAAGATTGCCCTGACGGATTGCTGACAGAACAGGTATGCATTCTGCGAAATACACTTAAATTACATTAACTCTTTCCGTTCTCTCTTCACTTAGGACCTGAGCGGAATGGCTGTCTTGTACTCCTGAGATAATGTTTTGTGTTTTAAATTTGTGTCTTAAAGTAACGCACAATAACTGTCTCGTGACTTAAGAATACAAGACAGCTATTCTGCTCAGGCCCTTAGACTACTCGGAAGAAACGTTGTTGTTGCGCATTGTGAGACATAGGATAAGATGATCAAAGGCGGATCAAAGATTTGACGAGTCGCTAATAACGACATTTTAAAGTAATTCACTTAAATTTTGCTCTTTTACATATTTACAACTTTATGCTCAAGGTTGACAAAGTTACTTCATAAAAGTATCTAATTACAGTTACAGTTTTTTCACTAAAAATGTAACTAGTTGCAGTTACAAGCTACTAATTGTGAAAAGTAACGCGTTACAGTTACAGACGGAGAGAAAGTAACGAAGTTAAGTTAGAGTTACCAAAAAAAAAAAGAAACGAGGGGGAAACCGCTGAGGGCATTGTGGTGTACAGATTTGCGGCGTTACTAGGCATTACTAGGCATTTTTGGGGCATTATAGAGATAAAATAGGACAAAATAAGATAAAATAAGATAATAAGTTAAGTAACGCCCACTGGACATTATTGGGCATTGGTGTAAATGATTTTGGTCAGCGGTTTACCCTCCGGACGTGTTTTTGTGTCGCTTATTAGCGACACATCAAATTGTGGATCCGAATTTGGTCACCTTAGCCTAAAGCAAACACCTAAATTGATATAAATAGTTGAATGCGACTCTCGGGAGGCACATGAATCACATGTCACGTGGCAACAATAACGGAGGAAAGGGTTAATCACCCCCAATAATCGATAGCGAGCAAAAAGCTCGTCGTGTACACGGCGCTCGCGTGATTTCAGGGCTTCATAAAGATCTACAAGCAGTTCTTCCCCCAGGGTGACCCGTCAAAGTTCGCCTCCCTCGTCTTCAGGGTCTTCGACGAGAACGCCGTGAGTTTCTTGCCACGTGCGCAAATGTCGGTGGTTTTCCGCGAACCCTCTTTTCAAATTCGCTTCCGTCAGGCCGGGGTCCGCTCGCGTGCAAGAGCGATCACGCGATGCTTCTCCCGACTGTCTTACTCAAATTATTTTTCTTCCCCTTTCGCTACACGGCGCTGCTCCCTCGCGACGTCTCTATTGCCGTTTAACTGGTCGTTTAAGCATTTATTTAGTCCCGACGTTAGATAAGAGCAGGCCGTTAATTCACGTGGCGAATTGCACGCTCAACAAATTCACGCGCCAGGAGGTAATCCGTATCGATCATCGCGACGTTTAATCAGCGCTGACTCGCCCTCCCCAGAGTAATCGAGTGGGCATCGGCATTCGCACCGCGCGTCTCCACGTTTATTGAAAATATTGAGAAATATCTGAGACGGAAATTTCCCCCGGATTTCTCTCGCGGGACTATTCGATTTGCGAGTCGAGAGAAAATACGAATGCCCGGGAGAGGGGAAAACTATTTGCACAAAGTATCCGCCGCTCGACTTGCAACCGATAGCGATCCGCCTTTAAGGGAACGCGATCGCAAAGTGATCCTCGAATATTCCGCGATCGATAGGAGAGGGCATCTCGCGTGCGACAAAGTAAGGATACGTCGAATTGTTGTTTCAGGACGGCACGATAGAGTTCGAGGAGTTCATAAGAGCGCTCTCGGTGACGTCGCGCGGCAACCTGGACGAAAAGCTTCACTGTGAGTACCTCGCCCTTTATCCACCTCGAAAAAAAAACCGCCCCACTCGAATGCGGGAGAGTTCTCTCACTCGCGCGCGTACTTTGTTTACCCGTCCACTTTTCACGTCGCGAACAATCGCCGGGATCGCGCGGCGAATTTACTTAACGCGATTAAGTCAATAATTTCAGCCCTGTGCCTCATTCGAGAAAATAACCAGTCCGCCGTCGGCAACTTTGCGCGGGGAAAAAAAAGTCAGAACTGGTATCGGAGCCGCATCTTAATTGCTTTTACATTTCGATGAAATCGACGAAAGCAGATGGGAACTTTGATAAAATTGCATTCCATTATATTAAAACGGGATCATTTTTACGCTTGGTTGTCGAGCAATAAATTATTGCCCGCGTTTCTCGCAAATTGCACTACCAAGGAGGATTTGCAGATTGTAATCGTCGCACATAAATTTCGAGACGAGTGAAGAACGACCGCGGCGTAAGATGACAAAGTGCCCTCGATTCTCCTCGAGAAAACTGCTATCAATGAACGATCGCAATCTGAGCGAAAGTAAAGAACGAAACGTGTAGTTTCGCCGGGGATGTCGCGCGAGCTTGCGGGAGAATCGCGCGTGAAAGATACCGGGCTTCGCGTTTCGTACAAAGCGCACCGTCGGGTTTTCGTTGGAAAAATTTCAGTGGCAGAAGTCAATCGCATTTCTCTCTCCCTTTCTTCGTCTCTTTCCAGGGGCCTTTCGTTTGTACGACGTGGACAACGACGGCTTCATCACGAGGGACGAGATGTACAATATAGTCGACGCGATATATCAGATGGTCGTAAGTGCATCCCTTTTAAATTACAATACTTCTCGACGAGAAAGCTCTACGATGCGGACAACGTAACGCGATGGTCGCTCCGCGACTTTGCCTAAACGCGACTTCTCCCTACGTCTATCTGCGATTTTCTCAAAATAGCGCGACCCTGTCGGCGGCGTTTGCGAATTTCATGACAATCACGGGGTCTGTTAAGGTTTACGAAAGGCGAGCGCGTGCCGTTTCGACAAAATGAGAAAACTGAACGGGTCTGTCGCGTTTCTAGCATATTCCCAGTCGCTTGTTTATCCGACATCTACGATCGCGCTTCGCCTATTTCGCGTCTATGTAATTGCGTCCCGCTTGTACTCGCCATCCATAAATAAGGTCACGATAGCACAAGATTTTCGTGCCCGCTTAACAACTTGCTGGCTGCGATGCAATCGTAATGCCTCGTGCGCAACGTGCTCGATATCAAGTCAATATTTTATCCGAATGGGCGCGTTACATGTAACCCAGCGGAAGTTATAATCCTCTTCTGCAGTTTCCGAGGCGGCGTGCTACAAGCGAGTTAGCAACGTAAACTATAACGTCGCCTCTTCCCTACACCCTTCCCCCCCCCCCCCTCCCTTCGCCATTGCGCCTGACAAGCGCGATGTACGCGGCTTCTTTTGAGTTACAATGCATCCCCCTCGTATTATGCAACGCGCACTCTAATCTTTCGTCGGCTGCGACGTCTACGTGAAACTTTAAAGCCCGTATTTATAACCGTTACTCGCGAATCTCGTTTCGAAGCATCAGCCGGAGAGACTCGGGACGACGTTCCATATTTTGGGCCGCGCATTTTGATAAAATGAGAGGACTCGCGCGAGCGCGAGAGATCGCAAAAGTTGCGCGCTCGTTAGGATCGCTTGGGCGTCTGATGCCGCCGCCGCCGCCGCGCGATTGTATTCGCGGATTGTTCGATTGTTTCATCGGCATCGGTTACTTCATCGCGTTACTCTTACTTCGTTTCGCTTCGATTGACACGGCATCCAAATTTGTACAAACCGAGGAAAATTAAGATGAAAAACTCGACGCCGTATAAGTAAGACAATATATTAAGCTGACGATCAAGCGCGTTCGCTCGATTCAAATACAATATTTAGCCCACCACCTCTCGGCACCAAGAGAAGATTAATTAATTCGCCACTTACGTTTGCGATGCGCAACAGCGGAGTTGTAGACTTCCGTTGAGACTACGTAGATCTGCAAAACACAAATAGAAGGTTCAAATTGCAGCAACGCTCAAAGTAATCGCGATTTCAAGAGATAATTAATTGTACACGAGATCTGCGTGTTTCTCGACCGGATATTTCGTAAAATCTCCCTCAACTGAATATTTAGCAAAGTCTTTATGCAATTTTCACCAAAACGCCTTCTTGAACAGAACTTTTGGAGATTTGCGAGTAGAGAAA